CCCCAAAACCCCAAAACCCCAAAACCCCAAAACCCCACTTCCAAGAGCCAAAATAGAAATCAATAGGTAATAAAATCAGTCATTATCAAAGTAGTTACTAAAATTCAAATATAGGTCTTAAAATATAATATCCCCATTTCTACTTGTGTTGGAGTTCTTCTGTCCAGAGATTGTTATAGTCGACCTACTCATTACATCATTATTTTCCATCGGAACCACCTTGGATCTCATAGAGTACTTCATACTCTTTCTTCTGACATTATCCAGCTTAATTTTGTCGAGAATCTGAGGAGCATGGCCTGGCTCTTGTGCAAAAGCAAATCCTGTATGGACGTGTCTTTTAGATTTCCTTTTCTTCTTTTCGCTATCTGTCGACTTTTTGTGTCTAAAGTTTTTGATCTTCTTCCTAATTCCTCTTGCGATCTTCATCATACGAATCCTTAATTTCTTGTTAACATAATTCAAACCACTATCTACAAGGATAATACCCATCATCATCATTAGAAGAATGTAGTAGAACTCAAGTGAGAGGAACTGAGGCCCTGTAGTTCCGAATAGCTTAGAGAAAGTGAACAAATTTAGAATTGCTGCTGCAACAATTGTGATAACTATTGAACCGATTTGGAACAGAAGGGAAATCCAAGTATGGCTATTAGTGCTTGTCATTACGCTGATGTTAACAATAATCACGATTCCGAGGTATACAAAGTTACCTCCAAGCCATAGGGTACCTCCTTGCTCTTCGAACGGGATGAATGAAATCCAAATAAGAACAATTGACTGCCAGATGGCATAAAATACCCATTTCAAAAATTTATATGTTGAAAATCACATGTTTTCAAGACCAATGATGTAATACTTTGGCTCAGTTAATAATACTTCTTTTGGATACTCAAGGTCATAAATTGCAAACCAAAAGATCGCCAAAGATGTGAAAACAATATTGTACATTTGATAGAAGAGCTCATCAAAAATCATTTGAGCACTGAAGGTGCTGAAAATTCCAAACCAAAAGATTGACATCACGAATATGATATTTTTGTAAAACATATACCCAACCACATACGAATTCCTTCTGTATGCTTCCCTTCCATGCACAAGGAGCAGAGTTCTCAGAAATTTAAATTGCCCAATAGCATAATCTGAAGCTCTTGCCGCTTGTTGCCCTTCTAATCCACTGATACCAATCCCAATATCTGCTGCTGTGATCATGTTTACATCATTTGCTCCATCTCCAATAGCTAAGGTTGTCTTGCCTGGATATTTTGCTTTAATCAAATTTACAACTTCTGCTTTTTGTTTTGGAGAAACTCGGCAGGCAATGACGACTCTCATCTTATCGGCAAACTTCAGGAATTCTTCCTTGACATGATCTCTAGCAGTTATTTTAAGCAAAGAATCTCCTGCTACAATCAAAGCATGAGCTGAAAGCCCGCTCTTTAGGTATGTCTTGTGAGCATCTGCTAATTGATCAATGATGTCATCAGTTGAAGTTTTATCAATAATATACTGCTCCATTTCATTGCTCAGAACTTTTCAGGAATATCCAATGTTGATTGCAGTTTCTATCTTATCTCCAGTTAAGACCCAAATTTTTATCCCAGCCTCTTTAAGAACACTAATAGTGTTAGAAACATCGTCTTGAAGCTTATCTTCAATGGCTGTTGCGCCAACAAGGTCAAAATCATACTCAATCTGGTCTTCAACTTCAGCAACCTTATTTCTCTCTATCTATAATTTCGAGGGTAGCTTCTCTATATCTTTCTTCCCATTCATAGTATTCTTGCTCAGTAATGGTTTTCTCTGCAAGTAACAGTGTCCTAAGTCCTTCAGCTGCAAATTTCTCAAGGCTCTCATCTGTCTCTTGCACAAACTCTCTGCTCTTGAGTCGAGGGTAAATGATGGAATCAGCTCCTTTGCACATAACTTTGATGTCATTGTTAGGGCATCTGACTATTACAGTCATTCTCTTTCTAGCGCTATCGAACTCAATGACGTTAAGAAGCTCATAGCTCTCTTCTACCCCATTTTCCATTCTGACAATCATATTGTTTTGATTATCCCTTTTGCAGAAGAAATAACCAAAGAACCTTGCTCCATTGACAAGTGCTAACTCATCTGGTGAATTAGCATTGTAAGAGATCTGCGTCTTATTGTCAACTTCTGTTTCTTCGATAATCACAGTGTGGCAGAGAGCAAGGTGTAAAAGGAAACGATGAATCCGATGATAGTTCTCATTGGAAGGATTATCTCTATGCAAGAAGAAAATAGGGTCATAAAAACTAACATTAGTAATCCCATCCTTTCCCTTCTCAAAATTAGAATCACTGACGGATGTATTCTCGAGAGTTTTAAAACTATCTCCGGATATTCTGCTGTCGTCAATTTTGAGTTCTTCAGTTTCACTGATAGTGCGAAGAGTATCCCTTCTAAAGTTGGCTTCTTCCTGTTTACGGCTGTGACCATAGTAGTGAGGGCCAATACACATTTTCTTGAACTCCATGACATTCTGAGTAAGAGTTCCTGTTTTATCACTAAAAATATACTCGATCTGTCCTAATTCCTCATTCAGATTTGATGACTGTACCTTGGCAGGCATATCTTTGGCTTCGTCAAAGATTGTAGCATCCCAAGTGATGAAAACAGCTTGGAAGAATTTCACAATTTCAAGGGTTACCATCAGAGATATTGGAATAAATGCAACAAAAATTAATAGCCATGATCCAAGATTTACTAAGAACGATAAAATAATACTATTCTCAATTGTAGATTCACTTATGGTCCATCCTAGGTACTGATTGGTATTATCATAATTAGTATGATTCCAAATAGTAGAGTAGGTAGCAGCAAATGTGATAAGGAATAACTCGAGTCCAAGAAGAGAAAGAATAAACATGTTAGTCTTCTTCTCAATTTTAGACATTTTATTCCGAGTGTTTGGAGAATTCTTCATGATTTTAGATTCGTGACCTGTGTAGATTACAATTCCATAAATGTATTCAGTGTTTCTCAGACTGCTGCCTCTGAGCAAAGTCTGATTAACATCAAGAGAGATAGTTGTATCCCCACCATTATAGTTGCTCTCGCTTTCAAGCATTTCCTGTCTCTTCGGCTCAAAAGTCATATTGCCCTCAAATCGATACAGAAATTCATTAGGGCCTTGGCAATGTATTTGCCCTGTGAATTGAGCTGCATCCTCATCAGATAGAGTTCAAGGGATAGTAAACTTGTGAGCTGTCTTACTTTTCATATTTGTTTCTCCATCCAGATTTTTAGTTTCAACAAAACAAACTCCTTGAGGGTCATTTGAATTAAGTAAAATCAGGTCTGCAGGAAAGTATTGGTCTTTTAAGACTTTTACAATTTGTCCAACCTTTATCCTCGACCATTTAAGAGTTTTAAAGATTCCTTTTTCCTCTTGGTTAGCATACTGCATTTGATCTGGATATGGAATACATAGAATATCGCTCTTGTTTTCCCTGTTATCAGAAGAGTGTCTCTTGCTATCCTCAATGATATCCTTAACCATGGAGACTAATACTACAAATCCCAAGGGCATCAGAATGGTAGGTCTTCCATCTGAAATTGTAATCTGAGGTATCATTTGGAAAATCATCATTATTAAGAAATAAACATTAGCAAGCTTGGTAAACTGAAAGAATAAGTTCTTTGGAAGAAACGACCACCATGTATACTTGGCAGTATGAATTTTATTTCCCATAAAACTTTCCTGGTTTGGATCAACACTCTCAAAATTATTCACTGGGATTTTCCTCCAAGTGGAAAGGTCTTCTACAAAACTAGCTTCTCTGGCTTGGAATTGTTCTCCTGGAGAGTCATCGCTCTCTACAGAATTATCTAGTTGTTCCTCTTCCTCTTCTTCCTCATGGTGGTCATTCCCATGAGTTTGCCGTAAATCTGAGTTATTGAGAGAGGCATTTTTCATGAATCTACTTGAAGTCTTGTCTATCTTTTTGGGGCTCTCCCCATCGACTAATGGAGATTGGAGATCAGACTTTGTATTCATCTTGGATTTCCTAAATATTAATATTATCTTACAAATTCTACAGAAGACCGCCTGATGGGGTTTTGGGGTTTTGGGGTTTTGGGGTTTTGGGGTTTTGGGGTTTTGGGG